CAGCTCCTTGTCTAGAATGGCGAAGGTTACATGAAGTGTCGAGTCATCCAACATGCAAGTGAGAACGAAGAAAACATAAGGAAAGATTGTGAGCTCCTATCCATATACTTTTGCGGCGTCTGGCCCCTTACCTCAGGATAGAATATGAACCAAAGATAAATCCAACTGTCAGGCCGACGCCAGTGCCCATCATTGCGCCCATTCTGATCATTTAAAACCAAGTTGAAGACTTGTGAGTAAGTTTTAGGCGACAACTCGTCAGGACGTACTTGACTGTAAAAGGGATACATGTCAGCGGGGTTATAGGTTATTGAGCTTGTCGTTAAGCTTGAAAGAAACACTTACATTTCTGCCAAACGGTAGGTGCATGACCTGCTTGCGGTGGTGGTGGAGGCATTAGGTCAACTAGAGAAATGGTCGAAGTCCAAGATCCTGTGTTGTTTTTTGAATGTTGTGACCCTATGTCTTCACGTCAGTGACGCAACGAAAAAAGAGTATTAAAACCTAGATTCAAACAGCTGTGCTCTATGATAAGTTTGACTCGAGCACAAAATTGCAATGTATGTAGTCGCGTTCTTCGACGCGTTCACCTGGCTGTTACCCCCCTCTTGAACTGTGCACTACTATCCTAGTGATAAGTTAGATATAGGAATGGTACAGGTGTCATTCATGAACAATACTGAGACGCTCATATAGGAGCCAAATGCAAGTAATGCGACCCCAAAGTCGTCTCTACGCACAAATACTTTACAGAGAGGATTATAGATTCAGTAAAAATGTAATTCAGATGATAGTTAGTTTTCCAAGACTTGGTATGGGAATGAATTTGGGCGGCTCGTAAGCAATGGTCACGTGACCTCTGCCTGATACTTTGCTCGAGATCCTAGACCTGAAAACATGGAGTTCTTTGATGAAATATTATGAAAAGTGTCCTTCAATCTATTAAGATAGCTAGAAGAATGCTATCAGCTATCGTGGACTGGAGGCTAGATGCGCGCCGCACGAAATCGTGCAGAGCACGGAGACTTCGAGAGGGGGGACCAAAACATGAATGTATTGGTTTTAAGTATCTATGTTTCTTTATAATATGCAGTTTTGAGCGGATCCGGCGGTCATTGGAACCCCGACGGATGCGTAATGGTGGGCGGGAGTCGGGACTTTTGTATTAGCTGTCGGGGTCGGGGCGTGGGCATTTCCCCCAGGAAAGGAAAAAAAAGTGCATCGTGTTTTGTGCATGTTTCCAGCCTCAATGAGGCCGCCATAAGGGCCCTGAATCTAGCTCGACCACGCCTCCTACCTTTTTAGCCACCAGGATGCCACCAACAATTCGGAACCATCACTGTCATCTCGTCAAATCACCAAAGTGTCTCAATGTAAGCCTTGTATTCCGCAAGGAACCCAGCACATGATTGGACGGCAGTTTCTGTCAAGTCTGATTGTAAAGGGAGCTTGCTGGGGTATAAGACCCATACTTTTTGCCCTCCTGTTTGTGCATCCCCCTCTTCCCTCTTTTCATCTGTCGTATCTTCATTCCTAGTGCCCTATCCACAAAGAGTCATGGCCGCGATGCCCCCACCTTCATGTACGAACTTGTCCTCTTCTTCGACATCCCCCCATGCTGACCCCCCTCCAGCCATCCCCCTCGGAGAAAACATTCCCAACACTGGCACGACTGCTTTGATCGGCAGTAACCAGATTGCTCCTCGAACCCCTCTCGAACCTCCGTCCAGCCTATGGTTCATTCCCTATGACCTTCAGCTTCCTGCACGCTTGCAAGTGGGACCATCCCACTCTAAACGCCAGCCAGCTTCTCATGTTCCAAGACCACGAAACCCATTCATCCTATTCCGCTCCCACTTTCTCTCCCAGAAAATTCTTCCCATCGAG